TCTCTCAGTCAGTCTCTAGTCTACAGTCCCTCCATCCAACAGCTAGCAAGAAAACGGAACCACACTCATTCATCTGCAAGGGACTGGATTTTGCCAACAAGCCAGAAGTGGATCCTCCCCTAAGGGACTCTAGATGAGGATACAGCTGGCCAGTACCTTGATTTCAATCTTGAGAGGCTGATGTACTTACTTCACTGCTGACCCGCAGAAGCAGTGAGATGATGATACATTTGTACTGGTTTATGCTGCTCAATGTGGGGGTAAGTTGTTATGCAGACTTCAGATGAGTGCTGTGTCCTTTACCTAAAGGACATTCTGATGAGAATTCTGTCCATTCATTTCCCATCGCTATCCCAGGAGTGCGTAGGAGTGTCTAAGATGCTTGCCTGTGCTCATGTGGCTAAGGAAAGCTATACACAGAGAGACATCTGAGCTCAGAAAGACAAGCAATGGCACCTGGGGGCTTTGCAAAGCACACCATGGCCCAGACTGCTGTAAACACCACACTCGTGAGAGGAGACAGGGTACCTGCCAGAGTAGCAGACTAGTAGACTGATTTAAGCTGGCTTCTGGAAGTCAAGGGTCTTACTCAGCTGACAGTGTTCCTGGGGCTGTAAGTGAGGTGTGTCACCCTGGGAGGCCAACCCAGCAATGGCAAACGCCAGCACTTTTGAGCCCTTTGCAGGACTAAAAATGGTGCAGCGTTGTTCCAACATCTCCAGTTAGAACCCAGAGCAAGATACCACAGACAAGGGCATTCTGCACACAAAGGTGGGTAGAGAAGGGTTCGTGGTTCTCTGCTCCTGTTCTTGGCTTTGGCGGGGGCTCATTCACGACTCATGAAATCATTTCTCTTAGGAGCTGTGAGGAGAACATAGGAGCTGGAACCGTGAATATCTAAAAAAAAAAAAAAAAACCACCAAAAAACAAAACTCCCAAACCCTGAGCTCCTGCAAAAAAGAGACAATGGCAGGCAAACACCATCAAGGGAGGCTGGTGGTTTGACTTTGGAGCGATTAGTCATGTGTTCTGACTTTTCTGAGCTACATTCCTCCGATTCATACAGAATAATAGGAACCATTAATTTCGGCTTTGTAACTGAGGGGTAACCACACAGTTTAAAATAGGATGTCATTGTACCAATCACCCACAAAGACACTTTCCTGAAAGAAAACAAGACGTGACAGTTTTCTATGAGAGAGAGCAGAGAATTCTTGCCCTAAGTATGACCCCGTGATTTCCTTTTCATATAGCTGGAGTGCACCTCCCCACTCCAGGACCATTTAATTCTCCCCTCTCCAGGCACTGCTGCGCCTTGCATATCCTGCCCTGAGAGTTGCCATCCTGGGGGAAGGCCACGTTTTGCTCCCTATCTTGCTCCTTTGTGTCATTGGAGTTCTTGGAGGCATGAACCTTGTGTCCTGCTTCTTGCTAGCCTTTGCTGGCAATGATAATTAATTGCACACAACAGGTCCTCAGTAAGTAGTTCCTAATGAATGATTATAAAGCTTGAGAAAATGACACACTTCTGCTTAAAAAAATATCTATCTAGGGCAAAAAGTAAAAAGGAAAAGAAATAAAAAGGAAATCACGCTAATAAAATAAAATACAATGGAGATAAAGGCAGCCATGTGTCCAGCGGTTACTGAGTACATAGCTTTGTGTAAACTTTGGTGGCAAAGTTTACTACGTCATCGTCATCACATCACGGGAAAGACACCATCACAGGTAAGCCTCATGGGGGTAGCTTGACAAGGACCACACGGTGGCCAGTCTAGTTCTAACATGTGAACCCCGACTTCAGTTCTCCTGAAACCTGGCCTGGTTCCACACCATGCCAAGTCCATGGAGGCACATGGCTGTCCCAGACCCGCTCACTTGGGGATTCTGCTGTAAATGACAAGTAAAGGTCACTCCAATGTGCCATGAGGTCAGAAGACAAACCTGAAACAGGTTTGTGTGAAACTACCCTCAGGAGCAAGCTGCTGTCCTAAGTCGGAGGTCAGTGGAAGCTTAGGAGGCTTAGGGAAGGAGCCATGCTATAGATTAGATCTCAAATACCCTTCCTTCAAAGGCTTGCTCCCTCGATTGTGGCACTGACGGGAGGCGGTAGAACCTTTGAGAGGTGAGACCTAGGGGGAGGAAGTTAGGTTATTGGGGGAAAGGCCTTGAAGGAGATATTGGGAGCTGGGCCTAACATTTTTTCTTTTTTCATTTCCTATTTGTCATGAAGTGTACAGGCCTCTTCCCCCATGCATTTTTACCACGATCGGTGCCATAATAGACCTGAGGCAACAGACCCGAGCAAGCATGGACTAAAAACCTTTGAAACTGAACCAAAAATAAATCTCTTATCTAGTTGATTACCTCAGGTATTCTGTTGTAATGAAGCAAGACTGACCAACACAGGAGGGCAGGCTATGGGGTACTGCCAGAGGGGAAGCTACTTCTTGAGCCTCCTCTAAAAAAGCCCTGTGTATCCCTGGTCCTATGTACCCCTCAGTCCCTCAGCCTCAGTAGTCAGAACCACTGGTCAAGTCCCAGTGCTCAGATTCCCTGACTTGCTGGCACATTTGGCAACATGGTTCACTCCCTGCTTGAAACACTTTCTCAGTGTTTCAGTCTGCTGTCAACCTCTGGTTTTAACTGATTTCTAGGCCAGCTGCTTTCCATTTCTTCTGCAAGATCCCCTTTCTGTTCCTGAGCCTTCCATGCTAGAGCACTCCAGATCTGCGTCTTTGATGGTTTCTCTTTTCTGTCCCTGCTCCAGACTGGTGCATCCAACTGATGCTCACTGTTGTACGGGACATGGTGTGTGTGTGTGGGGGGGTCTTTTAAGGAGCGTGTCCCATTACAGAGATCTCACTATACCTTGGGAACTGACACATTCATACTGTTGGCCCAGATATCTCTCTAATTCCAGATTTGCATGTCCAATGTGAGAAGATATGTTCTTTTTTTCTTTCACTCAATGCTTTTTTTCTTTTTTTTCAAATCCAGAGTCCTATAAATAAGATTCCATATAAACAGCTCATTCATAACGCTTTCAAGATTTAACCACTAAACAATTAGGAGGAGGAATATATACTTTCCACCCAGCAATACTGGGCAGTTTTCTCGGCTCACTGTTTTGAGGTGGAGCTCTGTTTTCCCCAAGGATATTGATGGTGAAGGATGTGGGGAATGAACAGCTGCTGTCACTTCTGTGTGGTCCAATTTGTCACTCAGATGAGGTGGAGGGCTGAGACTTCTTAGTACAGAAAGGGTCCAAAAGATGAGAAAAAGAGAAGTTAGAGAAGTCAGGTGGGTGGCAGGATCAGGTTCGTGCCGTGCAGAGCTTGCCTGGCTCTGCAGAGGAGGGCGGGGCACCTGTGCACCTTCCTTGCTTCTCAGTGGGAAGGATGGAAGAGGCCTGGCAAAGTTCTAGGATGCTTTTCCAAGACAGAACGCTGACCTTCAGACTCCACTGGTGTCAAGACTGCCTCTGACTCTCCTTAAAGAGTGGCTGGTGGCTTCCCCAAGGTCTCCTGCTAGTATATACCGGGGGGGGGGGGTTCTCTGTTGCTGAATGGATTAGGATTGCCATCTCTGGGATCACATCTCTCCATTCTCTCAATGTGCAACACTATCAAATGTTCATGCACTTCGAATTTTAACTCAGTAAGTTTGAGTTTGGAAAGGGTGGTTCCAAAGGTTTGAAGAAACCTTGGAAGGTTGAAGTCAAATGGTGCCTCTTTGGAACGCTAATCCAGAAGTAAAATACAAGTGATACAAAATGAGTTTACGATACAGGACTCTCCCTTTAACAGTGAGGGTACATGTTCCTGGACCCCCATGGATGCCAGGGAAAGTACCATGGAAAGTTAGGATAGCGCTGAAACCTATACAGATAGTCTCCTTCCCTCCCATACCTATGATGACTTATGGATTGGCACAGTAAAAGATTAGCAACATAATACAGATCAATGATAACATACACTGCAATTAAAGTTATTCAAAATGTGTGGACTGATTCTGGAAGTTTCACCATTTAGTATTATACCACAAGTAACTGACACCTCAGAAAGTGAGACTGTGGGTAAGAGGTTCTACTTTATATGAAAAAAAAAACAACAGGAAAGAAAGATACTTTAAAGACATAAAGGCTTTCTTTGGGTGTGACAGAGCTGAGGGAGAAAGCAGACCCACGCACTCCAGGCTCATCCTTTCGCAGGACTGTGAGCTCCGATTAAAGGAGATTCTTGGGTGAGTTCAGCTACCATCCACACTGTCATCAACCATATATTGTGGAGCTTCAGCAGCGCTGAGCTATTGCTGTGTTTGACTGAGACTCGTGACACTTGTTTTCTTAACCCATACCGACTTGCCCTTCTGAATAAAGTGATTATTTTTAAAAACACACTGTCTGAATTAGTCACATGGGAGTGTCATTAAACAAGGCCAGCTTCCACAGAGAGGGATCGAGATGAAGGCTGATCCGCTCCCCCTCCCCCCTCCTCCCGGGTTGTTCAGTGTTTGTGGATCAGCAGACAATGGTGGAGATGCCAGTCCCTGGGTTGTTTCTGATGGCTGTGCAAGTAACTGAGATAACAGTTTGCCCTTTCTCATGAGGCCTGGAGCTACAACACAATGACTGTGGATGTGGATCCTGTTCTAAACCCAAGCACCTTCTTCACAAAGCTTCCTGGGTCCCTGTTTCCAGAAATAGGTGAATTTACGAAGGTGACCGTGAGTGGCATGGCTTTCCTCTGAGATCCACACCTACCCTCAAGCCCAGAGTATTTCTTATGTTTGATCAATTTTCCCTGGGGAAGTAAGATGGAGAAACAAGGTTCCCTTGGGGGAGGGGCTTTGGATTTAGGCAACAGGGAACAAGAAGTCAAGAGATTATAGTACCATGCTCATCACTCTGCAACCAGCAAACACTGGGCTAGAACACAGCAGGGTTGGTATAAGCATGGAGAATCCTAGTGGGAACTGCCCAGGACCTGAGAACACACCTCTGTCTCCATGGAGTCTGCGGAAGGTGAGCCTGTGGTTGAGCCACTCACCTGCCTGCTCCAAAGCTACCATGGTCGCCTGCTCGATCAGGTCCCGCTCGATGAAGCTCCTGAAATCTTCGCTGTACACGCTCAGGTCGGGCAACTGGAAGGTGTAGATTGGCATCTCCAAGGGGAACTGCTCATTGTTGCACTCGTTCGCCACGTGGGACCGGGCCAGGGAGACGATAGCTGAGCTGGCGTGGGAAATACCCCGGGAAAGGCGCTTCTCTGCAGGAAAAAAGAGGAAAAAGGCAGGCAAAGGGATCAGTGTATGTAAGTACACACAAACACATGAGCAAATATGTGCAGTACACACAAACATGTGCATGTACATCCATATGTATAGGTACATACAGATATACACAAGTGCATACATGCATACACATGAGCACACTGCATACAACACACGCATAAGACCCCCATATATACTACACACCAAATACACACATGCAAGCACACATACAGATGCATGAACATAAATATGTGCACACCCAAGTCCTGGATATACATATATACAACACAAAAAACCACATAGCTCTATGTACATCCATGGCACACATGTTTACAAAGCACATAAGACATATATGCACAACATTCATTTATGTACACAGATACTATACAATATATAGACCTGTACACGTACACATATACTAGACACTACACAGACACACAAACCTATACACACGTTTATGTACTGCACTGCACATTATCCATATACTTCACCCACAATATGGATGTACATACACTATACAATGTATACACTGCACACATTATGAATTCACCTGGAGCACTGCAGACATATGTGTACACACATGCACATACACCTGCACACCCATATTCTTCCTACAGTAGCCCTTCTAAGCTGGTGCTCTACCATTTGAGCCATGATTCCAGTTCCCAGACATGGGTGAGTTTACTAAGGTGATGCTGATAAACTCCTTCTACCTGAACATCCCTGGACACAAGTATGACATCGCTGCACATGCTTCCCTTATGTCAGCACTTTTCCATCTCTTAGTATGAGGTGGAATCTGGTCTTGCTCTTTCTGGGCTTCCCAAGCAAGAAATGAGAAATGTAGTGTGGGATTTTTCCAAAGTTCTATGTGTTATACTGTTAGGAAGTGAATCACTTTAAAACAGTAGGCATGCGCGCTCTCTCTCTCTCTCTCTCCATCTTTCTCTCTCTCTCTCTGGTTGGTTGTGGGGCTTGAACTCTGGGCCTGGGCATTGTCCCTCAGCTCTTCAGCTCGAGGCAGGTGCTCTACCACTTGAGCCACAGTGCCACTTCCAGTTTTCTGGTGGTTTTTATTGGAAATAAGAGTCTCATGGACTTTCCTGCCTGGGCTGGCTTTGAACCCCGATCCTCAGATCTCAGCCTCCTGAGTGGCTAGGATTACAGGTGTGAGCCACTGGTGCCCTGCATGTTTGCTTTCTTGACACAGTAAAAATATATTTAATTGACTGGGTGCTGGTGGCTTACGCCTTTAATCTTAACTACTCAGGAGGCTGAGATCATCAAGTTTGATGCCAGCCTGGGCAGAGAAGTCCCCATGAGACTCTTATCTCCAATTAAAACACTTGAAATCAGAAGTAGAGCTCTCAAAAACTGGAAGTGGAGTTCCAAGTCGTACAGTGCTAGCCTTGAGTAAAAAGAGCTCAAGAACAGTGCCCAGGCCCTGAGTTCAGGCCCTACAACTGTGTGTGTGTGTGTGTGTGTGTTTTATATATATGCAAAGTTGTGCTTTTAGTGGCCGACATTTCACCTAAATGAGCATTGGTAAGCATATGATGGCTTTGTTATCATAAGAATTTTTTTTTTTTTTTTTTAGCAGAAGCTCTCCTATTCTGGTCAGGAAAGCAGGATCACTGGTGTTTGAGTGAGATTATTGCCTAACCCCTGGGGCAGATTCCTGAATACATTGAGTACTAAGAATACCTATCTCATTTCAGACTAGTCTGCCTGCTCTCTGGTAAGGCTGCTTATCTGCAGCACAGCCCTGATGACAGCCCTAGCCACAGGGCAAATCCCCACTGGTGTCTTCCTCCCACCAGAGGCTTTCTTTGGTCTCACTTGTACGTTCAATGGGCAGAAGAGGCATTAAGGTAATTCTATCAACATGGACTAGCAAACGGAGGCTTTTGATCCTGTGGCAGGGTAGTTTTAAATCCAAATTTAATTCTCAGAAGCCTCTAGTTATTTGCCCAGTCAAGTGAATAGAAAAACCACACAAGAGAACCTATTTCAGAATGGATGTTTTCGATTCAGTTCCATGTCAGTCTGAGACAATGTGATTAAGTTGTTTTGTATTCTGAGGCAAAGCAAAAAAGAAGTCAAACCACAGGGACCATCAGAAAGAAGAGAAATGGAACCGAGGGCCTGGCTAGTCTGTCCAATGATCCTGTATTTGGTCCAAGGGCAGAAGCCAAGGAGATCCCATGGGTGCTGCTTCTTGTAGACCATGCAGAGCTTACAATACCTTTTTCTAGATCAGAAGTATTGGAAGTTTCTTTCTTTTTCTTTTTGGTGCCAGTCATGTGGTTATAACTCAGGGCCTGAACACTATCCCTGAACTGTTTTTTGCTCAAGGCTAGCACTCTACCACTCTAACCACAGCTCCACTTCTGGCTTTTTAGGTGATTAATTGGAAATAAAGAGTTTCAGGGACTTTCCTGCCTGGGCTGGCTTTGAAGTGCAATCCTCAGATCTCATCCTCTTGAGTAGCTAGGATTATAGGCATGAGCCAACAATGCCCAGCAAGTAGTTTTGGAAGTTTCTTAAGGAGAAAAGAAAATTGTAGAGAAGGGAGCAAGAGAGGAAAATTTGAACGCCAGTGGAAACATTCAAGGCCAAGCTGCTATTGGGTATGTATCTGAAAGAAAGGAAGTCAATATGTTGAGATGTGTGGCACTGCAGCACCATTTGCAACAGACAAGGTATGGAACCAGCCCAAGAGTCCATTAAGGGAAGAATGAATAAAGAAAATATGGTATGTCCATATAAACACAATGGAATACTATTTGGCCATAAAAAAGATAAACAATGTTATTTGTGAGAACACGGATGAACTTGGAGAACACCATGCCAGTGACAAATATCACATGACCTCATTTGCATGGAAAGGCGAAGTGAACTTAGAGAACGAGTGAGAGGAACAGCGTGGTTACTAGGTAGAGTATGGAGATGGAAAGGGGAAGAGAGATACGGAGAAGTTGGTGATTGGCTACAAAATTACAGTTAGGCCAGGCACCAGTGGCTCATGTCTGTAATCCTAGCTACTCAGGAGGCTTAGATCTGAGGACTGAGGTTCAAAGCCAGCCCAAGGAGAAAAGTCCCTGTTGAGACTCTTAGCGCCAATCAACTCAAAAAACGGAAGTGGTGCTGTAGCTCAAAGTAGTAGAGCACTAGCCTTGAGCAAAAGAGCTCAGGTACAGTGCCCAGGCCTTGAGTTCAAGCCCTACAACTGACCAAAAAACAAACAACAGAAAGAAACAACCTACAATTAGATAGGAGAAATAAATTCTAGGGTTCCACAGCACGGTAGGGTAACCATATTTAGCAATTATTTGCTATTTCGAAGTAGCTAAAAGACAAGATTTTGAATGTCTCCAGCACAAAGAAATGTAATAAATATCTGAGATGGATATACTAATTACTCTGATTTGAGTATTATATACTTTATACATATTTTGGAATATCCCACTGTAATCCCATAAATATGTATGCTATTAGCTGTCAATTGAAAATAAAAACAATGAAAAATAATCAAGGCTCTCTAACTTAAGTGCTCTCTTCCCACACTCCTGAGGAGAAGAAGACCAGCCAAAGCACAGGGTGCTTGCCTTTCACCTGACATGAACTATTAGTGGAGACAGCTGATAGCCACAGGCACCGGAGCTCACAGCAAAACAAGTAAAAGGTGAGGAAGGCAAGCACAGCTTAAGAAAGTTCAGGTAGGGACTGTGGCTTAGTGGTAGAGTGCTTATCTAACATATATGAAGCCCTGGGTTTGAGACCTCAGTACCACATACATAGAAAAAGGCGTAAGTGGCACTGTGGCACAAGTAGGAGACCACTAGCCTTGAGAAAAAGAAGCTTAGAGACAGTGGCTCAGGCTCTGAGTTCAAGCCCCAGGACTGGCAGAAAAAAAAGAAAGTTCACACAGTAATCATGTGGGGAAGGCAGAGTAAACAGACCAGACTTATAAGTGAGTCTAGCACACATGTTCAGAGAGGTAAAGAGAATATTAGACACTAGTAATGGCAAAAATTTAATTTGGAGGGGGCTGGGAAGGTGGCTCAGTGGTAGAGCACTTGCCTTGCATGCATGAGGCCCTGGGTTTGATTCCTCAGCACCACATAAGCAAAAAGAAAAAAGCCAGAAGTGGCGCTGTGGCTCGAGTGGTAGAGCGCTTGCCTTGAGCTGAAGAGCTGAGGGACAGCGCCCAGACCCAGAGTTCAGGCCCCACGACCGGACCCCCCCAAAAAATTAATTTGGAGTGAAAGAATGTTCACTTATGATAGATGCATGGGAAGAAATGAATGAGGAGGAGGTCAATGCAAAGAGATCAAAGGAAACAGTTGGGAGTGGAAATTTTTATTCCACTAAATAAAATATGTATCATAGAAACTCTTTTAGGTACTTTGGGCCTTAGGAGATTCACCATGTAGAAGTATTTATTTTTGAAAGTAATCTTCTAAAGAAGACTTTCTCTTAGTACAAGAGAAATGAACATAGTCATGTGTCTGTCTCCTGTAGATGGAACTGTGTTCTGAGAAGTATCTAACAGCATGAACTGCATGGAGTGTGCTTATACACACCTGGAGAGCCTAGCTTGTACTTACACACATGGATGGTCTAGCTCAGGCTTACTTACACCTGGATGATCTTCTTTGTGATTACACACACATGGATGGTCTAGCTTGTATGTTTATACACCCTCAGAGTAGACAGACTACACCCTCAGAGTAGACAGACAAGGTAAAAAAATCACAGCAATAACACTTGATGCTGGCAAAATAAAGGGACACACCCAGGGTTCACGAAACACAAGAGAGTGGGACACTTTTTTTTTGTCGGTCATGGGGCTTGAACTCTGGGTCTGGGCGCTGTCCCTGTGCTCTTCAGCTCAAGGCAAGCGCTCTACCACTTGAGCCACAGCGCCACTTCCTGGAGACACTTTTATAATGAAACTTTGAAGTTAAAAATCACGTGTGCTGCCACAGCAAGCCCACATTGGGATGCTAACCGATAGGAAGAAACACACCCGCATAGAGGATTGATAAAGTTTGGCATGGCTTGTAGTGGTAAAAACAGGTAAACAATAAAAACCCAAGAAAAGTCAGGATGACCATTTTTATAGCAGTTCCCCAAATGAATGTATATTGTATAATAAATTACAGCTATTAAGAGCATAAGTTCATGGCCAAGTGCAGTGGGTCATGTATGTTGATCCTAGCTACTCAGGAGGCAGAGAAGACCATGGTTCAATGCCAGCCTGAGTAAAATGTTCATGAGACTGCTGTTTAACCAATAAAAAGTTGGGTGTTGTAATGCGCACCTATCATCTTGGCTACAGATTAGGGTAAAAAGGAGGATTGCAGTCCAGGCTTTTCCTGGGATAAATGGTAGACCCTATTGGGGAGAAAAAGTAAAAAGGGTTGGGGACATGGCTCAAGTGGTAGTGTTCACTCGACAAACATCAAAGACCGAGTTTAAGCTCCAGTAGTGCAAAACGAAAAAAAAAATTCCAATGATATATTGCTCATGATGTATTGTTCATGATCATATGGACAGTATGTTTATGACAAGTACAATAACCACTTTGCAGCGTATGATACACGTTTGACATCAAATCTTTACATTTTGACTGAACCTAGCAAGAACAGGAAGAATCATACCCAAACAATCTGTGAGATTTGGGATATAGGGAAAAGAAAAAGTCTACATTTCCTGCTATAGCTGTGGATGACTTCCTTTCTTACAACAAATACATCTGCATCTTGTGATGAAAAAAATAACACAGAAGACAGAACAATGACTACGATATAGAACAGATTTGTAGACTAAACGGCTTGGGCAATAAGTGAAGAAACTCGAGGTGTCTGGTCTGGAAAAATGAGCACACCTGAAGGAATGCCAGTCTTTGATCCTTTCAAGGATGATTGGTCTCAACCTTTTTGCTTTTCAGGGGCACTAGAAGGAGTCAGGAACCAGTGTCACTAAGAAAATGTCAGCCCATTGGGAGGAACGAGGCACTGGGGGTGGCAATTTGTCATGACCCCGCTTGCCTCTGCTCCTCTCCCCCTATCTGCCTGCATGCTATGGTGCACCATCCCGGGCAGCCATGCCTAAGCTCAGCCTCTCAGTCAGTACCTTGGGCGATGTCGTCTTGCCTCTGCAGGCAGGGCCTCTCCACCTTGTGCGCAGGCTGGGCTGGCTCTCGCTCGGGCTGCTTGGCACACCTCCCTTCGTTGAACACATGTGGCAGGTTGGCTGTGTGTACTTGTCGGAGTTGCTCATAGTCGCTTAGTGCAGCTGTCAGGTCCCAGTTTTTACCTGTGGGTAAGGAATGACAAGGAATGGCAGGCTCAACACATTGGCAATGGCCTCATTGTAGAAATGAACTGTGGTGTCCATTAGCATGGTAACTAAAAACCTTCCCAACAGTAGTTCTCAGGTTTTCTTCCCCCAAGTGTTGATTGCCTTTGGGCATTCCCGACAAGTAGTATTTTGAAACCCGTAATTGATGACTTTCTCAATGTGTAACTGTATCTGTGTGTGTGTGTGTGTGTGTGGTCCTGAACTCAGCACCTGGGTGCTGTCTCTTAGTTGTTTTGCTCAAGGTGGATGCCATACCACTTGAGGCAGAGCTCCACTTCTGGTGATTTGGTGGCAACCTAGAGATAAAAGAGTCTCAGCGGGATGCTGGTGGCTCATGCCTGTAATCCTAGCTATTCAGGAGACTGAGATCTGAGGATCATGATTGGAAGCCAGCCCAGGCAGCAAAGTCCATGAAACTCCTATCTCCAATTAAACATAGAAAAATCTATAAGAGGAACTGTGGCTCAAGTGGTTGGTAGAGCGCTAGCCTTGAGCAGAAAGGAGCTCAGAGACAGAGCCAAGGCCCAGGGTTCAAGACTCAGGATCAGAAAAACCAAAAACCAAGAGTCTCTGATTTGTCTGCCTGGGTTGGCTTTGAACCTTGATCCTCAGATCTCAGCCTCCTGAGTAGCTGAGATTACAGGCTTGAGCTACTAGCATCTGGCTTGTGATCACATCTCAGCCTTTGGATTCACATACACACACACCCACACCCACACCCACACACATAAACGCACGCACGCACGCACACACAGACACACAGACACACACTCCCTGTTTCCTATTTATGTTTTCTTTTGAAAATGAGTTGTAGCTGGGTGCTGGTGGCTCATGCCTATAATCCTTGCTACTTAAGAGGCTGAGGTATGAGGATCATGGTTCAAAGCCAGCCTGGGCAGGAAAGTCTGTAAGACTTTTTTATCTCCAATTAACCACCAGAATATCAGAAGTGGTGCTGTGTCTCAAGTGGTAGAGTGCTAGCCTTGAGCTGAATTGCTCAGGGACAGTGCCCAGGCCCAGAGTTCAGACCCCATGACCAACAAAAACAAAGAAAAAAAAAAGAAAATGAGTTGTAGAGCTCACTCTATAAGTCTTAAGACAGAAAAACTAAAGTAGCATAGCTTTGGTTTGGGATATTTAAAATGGAGCTCACAGTAGGCCATGTTAAACCAGGACTTTGAGTAAAATCATTTGCACATGACCCACTCATCATCATGATGGCCTTGAAAATGGGGCCAAATTGCAATTTCTAGAGGGAGATTCATCAACTTCAAGACAGCTTGTGAAGTCTCTGTCACCCTATCCCTGTGTCCCTTTTTCTTTGTGTGTGTGTTGGTTGTGGGGCTTGAACTCTGGGCCTGGGCGCTGTCCCTCAGCTCTTCAGCTCAAGGCAACACTCTACCACTTGAGCCACAGCGCCACTTCTGGTTTTCTGGTGGTAAACTGGAGATAATAGTCTCATGGACTTTCCTGTCTGGGCTGTCTTTGAACCATGATCCTCAGATCTCAGCCTCCTGAGTAGCTAAAATTACAGGTGTGAGCCACTGGCTTCTGGCCCCTGTGTCCCTTAAACTGCCGAGTTACCGAGACACTGCCTTTGTTACAAACTCTTGGCACACCAATCTTAATTTCTGACTGAGCAGTGACTTAATGAACAAGCTCCTTGAAGCTACCATCTTGTAGAATGTGGAGCATGATTTTCAAGGCTGCTTGACTTTGGTGTCATTCTGTACTGCAATATTAACAAGCTCTAATAAATGTACTTTTTTCCTGGCTCTATACCAGGTTGATTTTAAAGAACAAAAAAATAGAGTAAAAAGGAAAAAAAAAACATTCCCAAAGATTTGTTTTTGGGGGTGGAGGGTGAAAATTTTGCTCAGATTAAATTTTTTTTTCTTTTAAGCTTGATATGGGCAAAGCAGAAGCTTGGCAGGCATTCTCTTGCTGAGAGCCCTGCATGTGGGCAAGAGCTCATGAACCACCCATTGATGTGGTGGCTGACACTTTGTAGCACTAGAGGGAACTTTTCTGGGGGCTGGAAAGCAGTGTGGGAGCAGATTCCTTATTTTCAGACTTGGTGGACTTCTAACAGGGAGGAGGAGGTATCAAACTGAATCTGATTCCAGCTAGACATCATATGCATTTTGAAGACAAATAATCTAAAGGTTAGCCTTGAGCTAGGAGTGTTTCTCAGTGGGAGAGTGCTTACTTAGTACAGAAGGCCTTGGGTTCCATCTTTAGCACCACACCAAGGGGTAGGGGAGAAGCTTAGTTTATTTTTAAGTAACAAGTACAATCTTCTGTCCTGGTTGACTGAATTGCAGGTGTTAACTATACTGATTAGTTTAATTTTGAATAATGGGCAGTGTGGCTCCTTATGTCCCACATTTGATAGGTTTCAAGGCCTATATACTATTAAACCCTAAGTACACAGCGTTTGTCTCATAGATACCCAAATTTAATGCTTTTCCCATTTTAGTTAAGCACGCATCACACACTGTAGCTGAATGCTTATAGTGTGTGGTGTGACAGCAAAACTAGCACAGATTTCTTATTCCTTCATCTGTTGAAGATTAAAGGGGACAATTTACTCTCTCTGCCTGACTCTTAGCGCTAGCTTGAAGACTCAGGCTGGAACCTATGCATCACCCATCCTGGTTCTCCAGCTTGCTGACTGCAGATCTTGGGACTTGTCAGTCTTCATAATTGTATAATCCAATTCCTTACAATACTCTGACCTCTCACCTATGTAATATATGTGCACACACATATATGTATGATGTATGCTATCTATGCATGTGTGTAATTCATAGGAGATTCCCCTATATTAGATCCTGAAGCAGAGTCTCCAAGCCAGAGAATTCTAAAGGGCAGCAGTGGTTTTGGGTCACAGCAACATAAGCTCTGTCTTCTCAATGGCCAGCACATGCTGGAGGAGTGGGAATAGGTTATGCAAATCAGGAAGCACCTGATTGGTGGAATTCTGATTGCTTGTGTTATGCTTACAGTAATTGGATAAGGCTAGGAGGACACAGCTCAGTGGCTGAGCACTTGCCTGGGGTACATGAGGCACTAGGTTCCATCTTTATTCCCATAAAAATAATTGGCTATGCAAAAATTTGAGTTTGGGGATAGCAGGCTTTTAAACTGATGGGTGAAAAAAACAACGGAGGGAAGAGCCAACACATGGAATCTATACTCGGCTTGTTAGCACAGGGTCAGCAGGACCCAAGGCACCCTCTGTGTTTTTAGAAAATACACAACTCAAATTCACTGTATCTGATCTTGACAAAAACAATCATTTGATTTCAAAGAAAAATGAATGCATGCATTCCATCATACTGTGCCATCCACCCTGACATCTAGGCAACACTGTTCCTACAATGGTCTCCGTGAAGGTGGGACTTGCTAGAACAAACTGTCAGGGTGCAGGGTGTAATTATTGAGAGGCCCGAACTCCTTCTCACTGAGCTGAATCTTCCTCGAAAGCCAGCCTTGAAGCTACCTACTGAAGTCAGAAGCAGCGTATGGCCCCAGTTTCATTAGCCCAAGTACTATAGTTAGTAGCTCCTAGAGGAAGGCCCATGTATTAAATGCTTGGGAGCTATTGGGAGAAGGTGGAAACTTAGGAGGTCAGGCCTAGTGGGAGGTCTTTAAGTCATTGGGGATTGTGGGATTTTTCCCTTCCCCTACATCTGTGTCCGGGTTGCTGAGGTAAGCGGTTTTGCTTGCTGCCTCACTACCGGTCCAAAACAAATGGGGCCATTTTCCAACTGGAGCCTCTAGAACTGTGAGCGAGCCTATCACCTTTTCTCTTCATAAATTAATCACTTCAGCTCTTTTGTCCCAGTGATGAAAAGCTGACTAGCATAGTCAAGTACAGTCTCCAGGCATATAATCTTAAACTGGTATTTCACAAAGAATCCAAACACCGATTTTTTTTTTTTTCATAAAGCCAAAGAAGGCCAAGTCAACTGTCAAAGTGAATCGGGTCTTGAAGATTAAAATGTGGTTGAGATTGACAGCAGCTGGATTGATTAGGACCCTGCATCCCTGGTGTCTTATCTACCCCTGTGTGGATGCCCTATGAGGTAGAGCTCCTGCATAGTGCTTGAGAAAGAAATCTCTCCCTTCAGTTAAATAGTTGCAGTTAAGAAAAATTCCTCCTGCAGCTTTGAAAAAATGAAATCAGGCTAAATCCTGAAGATCAGAGAAACAAATCACTTCCTGTGGCATGGACATTTGCCAACTTAGTTCTCAGAGAAGACTTAATTTGTCACTCCTAAAGAAAGCCTTCCAGCTCTTTCCACTCGGTGCTTATACACCAGGAAGCTAGCCACAGAGACTGTTGCAAAGCACTGTGGTCTAGGCCTCACATCTGGGCCCAGGACTTCCCTGGGATGCCCAGAGCCCTGAGGAGAACTGGTTCCCAAGGGAGGCACTGGTCTGGCACACCAGCTACACAGCTGGCTGTGGGTGGTCAGCCCAACCTCTTGACAGAGAGAACTGCTGGGTGCGGATGCTTTCTTATGCTTGTTTGGAATCAAAGCTCTAATTCTATGTCTATGCAATAGTGAAGTTGTAGCCGTATGGAGATCAGGATTGAGGTGAGCTGTGCCTTGTTCCCCCACTTCCTAGATTGCCTAGCGGGAGAAGAGAGCACCTGGCAAAGCAGGTGTGGGGGATGACCCACTGTGCTCCATAAGGTCTGAGGGCTGGGAGGCCGTGTCCACCTGGGAAGCCAGCGTCTATCCAGAGGCTGTGTCCACCCACGTAAATGCCATGCCCACACAGTCAATGGACAGTTCAGAGGGTGCCTACTTAATGGCATCCTATGACTTATATAATAAATAATTCCCTAATAGGATGACTTCTGGCAGAGACTCCCCGATCCCTCCTCCCCCCCCCACCCCCAGCCTCAAATTAGGAAGGGCATCCTGAAGGTCCATCACACT